CTTCCCAACCCTTCCCTTCCCCTCCCTTCCCTTCCCTTCCCTTCCCTTCCCTTCCCTTCCCTTCCCTTCCCTTCCCTTCCCTGAAACAACAGGCAGTTTCCCAACAAACCTCACCCCTCCTTTCCATGGGAACAATGCCCATGTCCAAGAGAATTCTGGAAACATTGCTAAAAATCACTAAATCCGCTGCTTTATGAGTGTCTATTAAAGAAACAAAATGTCTTAGTGTGGATTATCGGGATGATAATGGCTGGGGAAGCCTGAGGGCTTTGTTTGATGGATATTTGTTTTCCAAAGTATATTTATTTCATTTGACTGCTCCGGGAAAGCACCAGGCCCAGCACAGCAGATTCCATGGGCTCCATTTAACAATCTCCCTGCCATCAATAAAACCATTTGCTTAAGTGCTTCCCTGACTTGGTGGTGCCACAAACCTCTGTTATCCATCACCCAGGGAACGCTTTCCCTGCCGCTCCAGAGCACAGACCCAGGGAACACAGCTCTCTCCAGGGAGGCTTTCCCAGCAGGTTTCCCAGCTGGGTGTGCTCTCATCACTCCACAAAGGGGATCAGGGCATCCAGGACAAGCTGTGAGATCAAACTCCAAGGAGGAGGAGTGATGAAGGCTCCTCAGCCAGGGACACTGAGAGGCCATAAAAACCAGGAGAACTCCATGGAGTGAAGAGCTGGAGCAGCGTGGTCTCTGCTGGCTCCTGCTCTGGTTTCCAGGAATTCAGAGCTCATTCTTTTCTGACAAAAAGGTGGGAAGAAGAACTGGTACAAGCCCAGGGGTACAGGCTAGGCTGGAGAGAATGGCACAGCAAAGCAATCTAGGAAATGAGGCACGGTTTAAAATGCAGTAATTTAAGAAGAGACATTTATCTCTTTGCTTTGAACAGGTCCATTTTTAATTAAATCACACAGAACTTGCAAAGCTCATTAGCTGGGCAGAATGAGCTCCCTGGCACTCCTTCAGCCAGCTGAGCTAAAAATGTGGGTTTCAGCTACAGGACCAGCCTAGGAAATAGGAATGGCTTATGCTTTGTCTACACTTTAATAAGATTTGGTTTTTTTCACGGTTTTGGTGTCAAATATTTAATATAAGTGAGAGTTAGAGCTCTTAATTTCTGTAAGAATCTGTTGGCACGTTACCAGTCCAGCCAGGAACATGATTGCTGTTCTGGAAGGACATCTGGCACAGGTCCAGTGGGAACACTCTCCTGTAATCCCCACATTCCTCCTTGGCATGGCTCAGCCCACCCTGCAATCCCAGCTCTCCAAAGTGGGAGCTCTCCAGGGCAGCTCTGGCCACATCCAAGCAAGGAAAAAGGCTGAGCTGTTTTTAGAGGACTCCAGACACTCAACTGAGCAAGGCAAGGAGCTGTGAAGCCTCACCAATGCATTAAAAACAGATTTTCCCCCAAAGAGACTCTGGAGAGAATGAATTTGGATTCATCCCATGTTGTGTCATTTTCCCAAAGCACATCACAATTCAAGATCAGATGCTGTGAGCTCCGTCTCAGACAAAAGCAGTTTTCATTTTACAGTAATTGACAACCAAAATATTTTGATTTTGTTTACCAAACAGACAGAGAAATAATATCAACTGAGTCATTTCATTGCAGTGGAAAAGCAGAACATATTTGAAGTTCATTTTCGAAGTATGTGCAGTTCTTCTCAAAGAAATGCAAATAGACATTGTATGGAAACCAGTTTTTAGATAAATATATTTCTTTACATCTAAATAATGGATCCTTATCCTCATTCCAGTACCACTTTTGATCCAAAAAAAAGTATGGCAGAGGTGATGAACATTAAAATTTAATGCCAGTGTTATTTATGAATTTTTATTAGGTGAAATTAGAGACCAGTGATAATTAGAGATCAGTGGTGGTGATAATGACGACAAAGATAAGAATTCCAATGGATCTATGGAGTACAGAAAGAGGAATAAATTTTGCAGTTCTCAGTGCAAATGAGGAAATGACTTGCTGGGAATCTCTAAAACACAAAAATA